GATTCTTTGTTACATGACTCTGTGTTTTTGTGTTTTTGTTGTGATGTAAAGCTCTTTGAAATGCCTTGCTGCTGAAATGTGCTGTACAAATAAAATTTGACTGATTGATGGTTGAAGGCGGGTTTTGGTTCAGACGCTGATTCGTCCAGTGAGGGTTTCTCCCTGTCAGTCGTCTGATGGGATCTGCAGTGTGAGACGTTTGTGTCGGCTTGGCGCCCTGAGCGATCCAGGGTGAGCTGCTTGGTGCGGAGCGTACGACCTCTCTGTTGATTTGAGGAAGAGTTGTTTCATTAAAGTTCACCTCCAGCCGTTGAATCTTCATTTCTATTGACTAAAGTCGGTGTGTAAAACTGAGCTGGTCGTTGTTTCGAGTCATTTGTAGAGTTGAATCTGGGTTGGTCTCCGTATTCCTCTGCAGAATATTAATCTTTGCTTCTGCCGATGCTGCTAATGTCCCTTGGTTGGCCAGAAGCATCTCACCCTGGTTCAGCTTGGAAGTCAGGAAAAAATAAAAGTAAGAAAATTCCACAGTCCTTCGGTTTCAGATAATCCAGTTATGATGTTGGCAATGTAAATATATTTATAAAAACTGACTTTAATATAAGTCACAGGTAAAGTTATCAGTAGGGCCACAGAGGTCAGGATGAGCCATTTCTCCTTCAGCGCTCAGGCGACATGAACTGAAGTGATTGTTTGCAGCAGAGCAGACATGCTAACATTACTTAGCACGTTAGCAGGTATCCAGAAAATTANTGTGCTAAGAGTTTTCAAAGTTAGCAAAAATGCTAAAGCAGTAAATGAAAAATTAGCTTTGCTATTAGCGCATTAGCGGGTTAGTGAAATGTGCCCACCACTGAATAAGAAAGTTCTTGATGGATGTAAACTGGGTCGGGTCCAGATGGGCGCAGTTCCATGTTGATGGACTCTCAAAGGTTTTCCCTGATCTCTGTCTTGCAGGTCGGAGCTGGTCTGTTCGCTGTGTCAGGACCTGTCAGACCCTTCGGACCCCTACAGCTCCGACAGACCCAAGAGTCCACACGGTTCTTCCCTCAGCCTGCAGGACCAGCGGGTCAGAACCCTGTCAAGTTCGGGGCGGGGAGGGCGGGGTCATGTGCCCTGAATAGGCCGGGTTCTGGTCGTTTAAACCCGGTTCTGTGTGTTTCAGAGATGTGAGACTCTCCTGCTGCACCTGAAGGTCGAAGGCTGCAGACACTTCTCTCAGGTCAGTTCTGGTGCCAGTCGGTTTGAACTGGACCTCCAGTGTCCTTGGTGAAATAATAATAATTTAAAAAATCTATTTTATTCGTTTTTTTAACCTCTTCAAGGCTGAAACACCCATATTAGAAATAATCCACTTTGCTGTTTATTCTTTGGAGAATATTTCAAATCTTGTATTTTTCTGTTGTTGTTTTTTCTTTTTCGGGGATA